CACCGGCCCGTTCGGCATTTGTCTCCCGAGCACCGTTCAAACCAGCCGAAAATCGTACGATGTTCGGCTGGTTTTCTAGCGTGATCCTTAGACAAAAGACGTGCGACCGTACAGTAGAAACGGTCGCACGTCTTCGTTCACACTGCTCGATTCTCATACGATCGCGGGATTTCCCGTGATTCTCGTACGAGAATCGAGCAGTGTATGGGCACCTTAAGCCTGCACTTCCCACACATTGTGCTCTATAATGTATTGCTGGGATTTGTATTCCTCGATAGCTGATGGTACATTGTGCTGTATATTATACATAGGAATACACATCCAGCAATACATTATACACTGTATGTATAATGTATTGCTGGGATTTGTTGTATTCCTATATAGCTGGTGATATTCTGCACTGCGCTGTATAGAGGACTACAAATCCCAGCAATAATACATTATACAGTGCAATGCAGAATACCACCAGCTATAATGTACTATTGCTGGGATTTGTTGTAGTCCTCTATAGCTGGTGGTATTCTGCATTGCGCTGTATAATGTACTATTGCTGGGATTTGTAGTCCTCTATAGTCGGTGCCATTCTGCATTCATTGCTGTATAATTTTACACTTTCCTTTTCACTATATTGCACACCACACTATTTTATTCCACCGCTCCAAGCTTGCTCCTGTGATTGACTACAATCTCAAAACAAACTAGTAGCCCATCACTGGAGCCATTTTTAATTTTTTTTAATTGTTTATCCGATTAACCGATTAATCGAACTTAATAATCGGCTAACTAATCGATTTTGAAAATAATCGTTAGCTGCAGCTCTATGTACATCCTTTACGTATTTTGGGTTCCTGTCTTACCTACTGTACAGACTGGAAATATATTTTTTTCTGATCTTGATCAATATCTATAAAGTTATAACACAGTCAGCAGTGCTTCAAGAAGAACTTTGGGCAAATAAAAACTTACCCCTGCGGTAGGGCTACCCCCGCATTGCAAGGGATAAGTGCTCGTTTTGGTCTAGGGCAAGGGTGGGCAACTCTGGCTCTTCAGCTGTGCTTTAACTACAAATCCAAACATGCCTCTGGGAGCCATGCCAGTCTTACAAAGCCCCATGGGACTTGTAGTTCCACAACAGCTGGAGGGTTAGAGTTGCCCACCCGTGGTATAGGGTCTATAACAAGCAGATATACTCAGCTGATCCTCAGTCCTGCCAGGCTGCTAGATCGATCCATCCAGCCTCTTCTCCCCTGGGCTCTGGCAGTCCAAGGACCTTTGACATCATCACACCTGATGCAGGTCCACAGGCCGGCATTAGACATGAGGACACCAAGGCACATTCCATAGCTGGAGCAAAGGGGGAGGAAGGAGTGAGTGCTGACTGCTGCAAAAGCTTGGATCAGGTTAGTCAAACAGATTTATTTGAGTCCCTTAGACAAAACGAGCATTTAACCCTTGCAGTGCAGGGGATAGCCCCATTGCAAGGGTAAGTTTTTTATTTGCCCCTCTTTATGGAGTGAAAACAACTTTAAAAAAAAAAAAAAAAAAAAGGTTTTCATTTAAATATATTCCTTAAAAGATATAAATACATTTTGGGGCAGAATTATACATCTTTCACACAATGTATAGCTGGGTGAATGCCGTTTGCATGGCACTAGCACCACTAGATGGAGCTGTGGAGCATAGGAATTTCTGCTGGGCAGAAGATTTATAAACCAGCCCCTTTGTGTGTGTCACATGACTTTGTAAACCCAGATATTACTTTTTTTTAAATAGCATCATCACTGCTATACATAGCCTGTGCAGAGAGCAGAGCTTTGGGAGAGACCCAGCAGGCTCCACCCTCTACAGGCTGCATGTAACAAATCTATATTGTGAAGCGCTGAGCAAACTGTTGGCGCTATATAAATCCTGTATAATAATAATAATATAAAATAGGTGTTATCCCAATTTGGCTGCAAAATTGGAAACGCACTTTAAGAGGGGTGTTAACCGTTCCCATGCTCTATGCTAAAGCTGACAAAGGTTTGGGCTATTCTTTAACCAAAAAGAATGGGCGTTTAACTGATCTGACTACAGTAAAGTTACCTGGCCGGCTGCCATGGGTTCCTACAAATTGCAGCACTGTGTTATTAAAAGCCTCTGGATCTGACTAAAAAATGAACACAGGCGTACAGGAACCCTCGCAGGTTTCCAAACTTCCTTCTCTTGACCTTCAACTATTCATTACCTTGGCAATTAGATCAGGCTGACTGGACTTAGAAATGACCTCTGTCATGTTAATGGAAATATCTACAGATCTAAAACTCATTTCTAAGTAATTCAGTGGAATTGGGTAAAGGGGCACCTCTGTGCTGTCCGCTGTAAAGGCTACATATGATTTCAGTGCTGTCATTCATCACCATGTAATACAATGTGTATGTCTCTCAGGCACATGTGTGAGCTTTCCTAAAACACATCAAAAATTGCCTTTATAGAGCATCTGTCATTCAAAAACACATTTTGTGAGCTAGACCTATAGTCAGCCAAGGAAAGCAATAAGAATTAGGGTCATAGTAATCGTGCCCAACCATAATTAAAGGGTAATTCCACTGTCTTGGGTGAATTTGAGAAAAAGGAATTACCCCTCCAATCTGTCCCCTTTCACCCCACCCACTACCTTCAAAATATAGAAAGCAGGTCTGCGCTGCCATGTACGCATAGTACACCAGCACCACCAAGGGCAAGGAGCATTTGCCCAAAGGTAAGTATAGCAAGGGGGGTAGAGGGGGCCAGATTGAAGCGGGTGATTCCATTCTCCCAAATTCACCAGGGAAAGTGGAATTACCCTTTTTTCCAGGGTCGCCCCTGGAAAAGCAGCTTGTCCTCGTGCCGATGGGGACAAGGGCCTCTTCCCCAGAAGCCCTGGGGCGTTGGTTGTGTGGGTGCGCCCAGATGCGCCCCCCTTCCTTGTGAATGAGTAAGGGGTACCCCTACCCATATACGAAAGGGTTCAATAAAAGTTTTAAAAAATACTTTTGAAAAAATCCTTTAGTTGAAAAAAAACAAAAGACAAGTTTTTGACAAGTCTTTTATTTAACCCCTCACCCCCCACCCCCCAAAACAAAAAAAATGGATCCGCCAACGTGATCCAGGGTCAATCAGCGTTGTCCATGACGATGACTCAACAAAATAAAACAAGAAAAAAATAAATAGAAATTAAAACAAAAAAACAATAACAATGCACGCCGACCCGTGCAACAAACTCCCGTCGCAAAATGGCATTCTGACAGATGGCGGCAACATATAAACAATTGGGCGGACCTAGCAGTGACAGCTAGCTGGCTCCTCACGAGTGTTTACAGTTGTACGGCATCTGACAGGCGAACCATGTTTGGGCAAAGTCAGCATGACTTTGCCCAATCATGGCTCTTACAGAGTACTGTGCCCTGATTGGGCAAAGTCTGACCTGTGGTCAGATGCAATTTTTTAGCCAATCAGGGCTCACAAGGCACTATTCGAGTAGCCCGCCGAACGCCCTGGAAGTCCATGTGTTCACCGAACACACGAACTGCTGATGTTCGAGTCGAACTCTTGCTCGACTCGAACATGGAGCCCATCCCTAATTCAGATAGGCTATTTAGTATCCGGTCTTCCCCTGCCTTAGGGGATCAGGGGTTAATCGGTAAGAAGTGTGTCTACCTCATGGGCATCATTTGCTAAGGTTTCAGCAAGGTGGCCAGTTGGAGAACACCCAACACATTCATACCTCACTACAAAGTGGATATAGCTTGCTGTTCATTTCTTCGGCCTTGTCTTTAACATTTACTATTGATTGTTAGTCTAATACCCACAGGTATGTGGACATGGGGTGAACCAGGAAAATTGTTGCCCATACTTACTGTCATTTTCCTTTACTGTCTCTCCTCACATTGGCATAATGTCTGTCCCTGCTGTCTGTCGTGAGTCT